CAAGGCCCGGGGGCGGCGGTGGAGCCGCTCCTGGAGGTGTTTCCCCTCCTCTCCAGCTGACAAATCCCTTGGAAAGCAGCAGCGAGGAGCGTTCCCCCCCGGGGGGAACGGGGGCGTCACTCAGTGCTCCCCACTCCTTGCAGCATCCCGGCCTGGGCTCCCGCAGCCACAGCCTCCCGGAGGGTCCCTGCGGGAGTTGCCCACCCCTCACTGGGCACTCGTGCGGTCCCTCGGTATCGCCCCAGGGCTGCGGGGGGGGGGGTTTCTTTCCTTTCCGGCCTGTCAGCGCCTGGGCTGGACTTTCTGCAAAGTCCCTTCCGAAGTGATAGCAGAGCTAGAGGCCTCCCCCAAGAACCTGTCCAGCGGCTTCCCACGGCACTTTGTAGAGCTCCAGGGGAGGTAGGACAGCCTGGGGGGGACCAGACAGCTCATGCCGTGCTGGGGGGACACCCTGCACAGGGACCTTCCCGCTGGGAACCAGCTGGGAAAACTGCCGTTGCTTCCCTTCCCGAAACCCGGAGCTGTCTGGGCTTTCGGACAGGTTTGCAAACCCGTAGGTTAATGGCAGCGCATCAAGGAAGGGGAAAAAAAACCCAACAACCAAACCCAACACACAAAAACCATTGACCATCCTCGTCTCGCTGCCCGGAACCGCGCTGGGCCCGGGCCCGGTGCAACCGGCCATGCAGCCCCCCCGGGGCCGGGCTTGGCCCTCCTGAGCTGTTTGTGGGGAGGTTTGGTGCTGGTCCTCCAGCTGCGAGGGCCTGAGGGGCCCGATCCGGCAGCATCTCCCCCCGGCCTTCCTCCTTCTTCCCTTCCTTCCTCCTCCTCTGACCCGGCAGGGCTGAAATCACCTGTCGTGACAGCCGCCGATCTCGTCACCCAGACCTCATCCACATCTCAGCTTTAAAATACAGCCCCGGACAGGTCCCCGCACCCCCACTTTGCCCTCACCTCGCCTGCCAAATCAGCCCAACGAAACAAATAAAAAAGGGTCCCCTGGGAAAAGGGGACACACGGCTCTGGGGGTCACCAGAGAGCGGCCGATGGGCTCTGCCCCCCCGGACGGGTCACAGCAAAGGGACAACGTTCTCAGCCCCCTGGCCCTGGGATGCCCACCCTGACCCGGCTGAGATTCCAAGGAAGAATTCATCCTGCAGGCGCCCGGGCCCGCCTTGATCTCAGCACCAAAGAGAGGGCTTTTCTTTTGCTGCCAAACTCCTGAAACCCCGAAATCCCGCAATCCTGCCACCTCTGAAGCCGGAGAGCCGAAGCCGTGGGGAGGGGGAGAGGGGCCGGGAACAGCGCAGACCCCACGCGGGAACATCCCATCGGGGTTAGGTGGGAAAAAAACCCCACCAATAAGGGGGTGTGAGGGGAGAGGAGACCCCCCAAGCCCAGCTCAAACCCCCCTCCGAGAACAGCCCAGTAGCAGCGAAGGGGAAGGTCGCAGACCCCGGGGGGACCCCCCGGCATCCCCTTCCCCAACACCCACGGGCGCGGGGAAATGTCCCCGCGCGCCCACCGCCTTTCTCCGGCCTGGGAAGTTGTGGGAGCATCGGGATTTCATGGCTCGTGGGGGAAAACCCACAGTAACCACTTGACTTCAATCATCTCCGGGGGAACAGGCGCCCACCTGGGGCTCCCCTGTCCTCGGGCTCCACTCGGGGAGAAGGGAGCTGGATCAGAGCACGAATTATTTCCCTCCCTCCCCTCCTCCCCTCCTTTTTTTTTGCCCTATTATTACCTCCAACCTTTTAAATTTATTTATAATTTTTTTTTTAATTGTTTACCCTTTAGCCTATTTATTTTGTCTCTTTAAAAGAGCACTTTGGATTTTCGTGCATTAAAAGAAAAAATATCTTTAAAATTTCAAAACCACACTCCGAGAGCCAGGAAAAATGGCAAGAGTTTTACAAGAATGTTCCTTAAGATACAAATCAAGTGAGGCTCGGGCATTTTTTCTCATTTAAACCGAGAGTTTCAGCGCTTTTTGCCAGCTTTCCCAGCGCATGAGAAATGTATCCCATCAAAACCAATTTAAATCATCGATTTTAACAGTTTACCACGGGAATAACCCCTCCCTAACCCAGCCAGGGCTATTTGGGATGGAAAGGGGGGGG